ATTAAAATAACATCATTGTCACAATCAGATTAATGAGTATTAAAAATATTGGTAATGTCAAGTATTGGTGACTGTGAAAGGAACTGGGTATTCATAGACTCTTCATCTTCTTAAAGCCCTCCCTTTAGCATATTTTGCAGTGCTGGTTTGGTGGAGGTGTATTCTTTTAGCTTTCTTTTGTCTGGGAAACTCCTTATTTTGCCTTCCATTTTAATTGAGAGCCTTGCTGGGTAGAGCACTCTTGGTTGCAGGCCTTTGCTTTTCATGACTTGGAATATTTCTTGCCATTGCCTTCTGGCTTGCAGTGTTTCTGTTGAAAAGTCAGCTGCTAGCCCTATCGGCACGCCCTTGTATCTTACTACCTGTTTCTCCCTTGTTGCCTTTAGGATTCTCTCTTTGTCTTTGGTATTTGCCATTTTAATGATGATGTGTCTTGGCATGGGCCTCATTGGGTTTCTCTTGAGTGGGACCCTCTGTGCTTCCTGGACTTTTGTGACTTTTTCTCTCCTCCAATTAGGGATGTTTTCCATCATTACTTTTTCAGACAGGTTCTCTATCCCTTCCTCATCCTCTTCTCCTTCTGGTATTCCTATTATATGGATATTATTACATTTCAGGTTGTCCTGCATTTCCCTAAATGCCTCTTCATTCTTTTTGAGTCTTTTTCATGTTCTTGGTCTTTCTGGGAGCTTTTTTCTACCTTGTCCTCCAGTTTGCTGATTCGGTCCTCAGCTTCATCTAGCCTGCTTTTGATTCCTTCTACTGTGTTCTTCAATTCTGAAATTGTATTCTTCATTTCCTCTAGTTTCTTGTTGATAGTTTCTATGTCCTTTTTCATGCTGATGTAATTTGCAGTAAATTCCTCATAATTTTTCTGTAGTTTTTGGTAATTCTCTCTGAGCTCACTGAGCTCATTGAGCTTCCTTAGAACTGTTGTTTAGAACTCAATATCTGGTAGTTTACTTGCCACCTTTTCATTTAGTTGTCTTTCTGGGGATTCCTACTCTCCCTTCAAGTGGGGCCTATTTCTTTGTCTTCCCATTATTTGTGAGACTCTTCTCTTTTGCTTCTGATTCTTAAGGTAATCTGTCTTGAGTTCCTGACTTTGTGGTGTGGACTTCTCTGGTTGGAGAGACCTGTTTTTACTTTCTGGAATTGCCTGTGGTGATGTCAGATGTCATCCCTGTCCAACCTTAGGCAGTCTGTTTGAGACTTCCAGTAATCTACTGTTTGTGGCTTTCTCCTTCAGCTGTTAATCTATTCACTCTGCACTCAGCAGGGCACCTTAGACAGCTCAGGGTGGGGCGGAGTTCCTCCTGGGGACGGGGTTATTTGGTCCTCTCACACTGCAGCCATATGGGGGAGGAGTCAGAACTGGGATCCTGCCAGCCACTCTCTTTGTTCCCTCCCCAAAGCCTCTGTCTCCAGTCTCTCCCCAAGTGTTTCCAGACCTCCGTGTGCACTCTACACTCAGCAGGCAGCTTAGATAGCACAGGGCAGGGTGGAATTCCATCTGGGGGTGGGGCTATTGGGTCCTTTGACGCTGGTGCTGCTCACTGGCAGTGCTCTCTGCCTGAGCAAGATGGCTGCTGCTGCATGGGGGATGAGTCAGCACTGAGATCCCACTGGCCACTCTCTCAGTTCTCTTCCCAAAGACTCCCTCCACAGTGTCTCTAGCCCACTCTGCCCCCTCCTTTGCTAGAGACCAGGGTAAGTGGCTGCAAATAAAAATTTATGCATTGGCCCTATAAAGAGCTCTTTGGGTCTCCAGCCACCAGCCTCTGGCAGAGAGCAATCCTGCCACTTTTCACAGCTGGCTGTTTTCTGTGTACTTTTGGGGCTCTGGTGCTGTGGGCTAGAGATCCCTGCTTTTGGTTTAGACCCCGCTCTTCTCAGGGGGATCCAACTGGCTGTTTCAATATCCTTCTGGTACTGCCACCCTTGGGCTCCCTGCCCGCCTTCTCGAGTCTCTACCACACTCCTTACCTGTTAGATTATGCTAAAGCTGATTCTTCTGTCTCCGAAGTTACAAGGCTCCTCTCTTGCTATTGTTCAGTTGTTTGTTCGAGGTAAATTTCTCCACAATTTAGTTGTAATTCCAGGTTGGTCCTGGGAGGAGGTCAGTGTGACTTCCACTCACTCCTCCGCCATCTTGATTCTCGCGAGCTGATTGTTAAGAGTCTAACTCTTTATCTTTTAGTTTCTGGTTCTAAAAATCTCTAATGAATTGTATTCAATCTGGATTCTGAATTATTAAAAACAAACCTTCCAACTCTTCAAATTTAGAAAATAGTATCTTAATTAATATTTGATACAGGAGAATAAGGATACATATCACCTTTGTGAAAGGAAAAAGTTTTAGGAAATTTTCACATAAAAAATACTTTGTGTCAAGTATAATAGCTTCTTGAAGTTTGTAGCAAAGCAAGTTGTAATCATTGTGGAAGCGAAAATATAGGAGTCACTTACCTACCTTAAGTTTCAACAGAACTCCGAATCTGTATGAAATTGCCATCATGCTATTTTCCTACTATTTTTGGAAAATTTTTAATGAAAAATAACTTGAGATCATTGTTTCACTTTGCCCAGTTTTTTTGCCTATATAAACACACTGACTAATAAAATAATACTTTGCATTTATGTAAATTTTAAAATAAAATCACTTAATGTTACAAATAAAAATAAACATAAATGTGGTAAGTGCTATCGAAGAAAGTCCCATCAGATGATGAGAGACTTGAAAATTAAAAAATCGCTTAACATTACAAGTAAAAATAAATATAAATTTAGTAAGTGATATCAAACTGTCAGGTCGTGAGAGACCCGCTACAAGTATAGGTTGAAGGATCAGGGTAGGCCTCACTGAGGAAGCCATATTTAATACATACAAGAAAAAGCACTTTATACGCATACCCCCCGATTAACTCAGGGCATATATTATTACGTTCATTTTGCATATACTTAATCACATAGATCAGAATGGGTATATGACTGTTTCAAGCTTACAAACTAGCAAGTGGTGAACCAGTTTGGCTCCTCAGAGTCTTTTTCTGGTTCTGTTCACACCATATTACATTGCTCCTCAGAATTCACCTGACATTGATAAACTAATGCTAATGTTAGGTGAGTTACAATAGCATGCTACACACTGCCTAGAAAACACACAAAACAAAATCATTTTAAGTAGTCAAAGTAAATTTCTTTTCTATTTTTACCCTCATAGGACAACAGAGCATATGTTTGCTATTACATAGAACTAAAAATATCAATATAATTTCTACAAACTTTTTTGTAGAAAATAGTCTTAAGTTTCACTGAATGCATAACTCATGTGTAACTTTAAAACTAATGACTTGATTCTATGTTTTCTATGTGTTGCAACATATTTGAACTGTTCAGCACTTAAATAGTCCTGTTTATGTGGGATTTAATTTTCCGGGAAAGCCTGGAGCAATGGAGGAGGGAAGCTTCTGGACAGAGTGAGGCACCAGGCAAGGACAAGCCTGATTTCGGCATTAGGAGCACTGGTGTGGTTGTAGGGAGGGAGAGAACCAAAACAGAAAGGCAAAGATGTCAGTAGCTTTCTGGAACTCCCTGCTTCTCAGTATGACTTCTAAGTTAGCTCTATTGCTTATTACTTAGGTGTGTTTGTGATTAGTGACATATCGCAAAAAGACATGAAAATGGTTTTGTTCAGTTAATGTGCTCAGTAGTATAGAGATATCAATCAATCAGTCAATCAATCAGTAGGCAAATAAAGTCATCATTGGGGGTATTGATAAACTTTCACTTTGGAAGCTATCAAGATAGGCATTGGGCTGGGATTCTCATTTCTTTTCTCTGTTAGGAAGAAACAAGCACCTCTTTGACTTGCAAGGTTTTTCAGTTTTCTTACTACCAGTCTGATGAGATTGTATCGTTCAGTTTGTTGTGATTCTTCACCTTCACAGTTACATAATTTAAATGATTATATACATTTAAAGAAATATTTTGTAAGATTGTCTTTTAATAATTTATTCTCTAAAGGTATATAATAAAATATATTTTAAAAGTCTAAATTTTTTTCCAGTTTTATTTATTTTTTTTGAATGCTCTCAATATTTTATTTTAATTTTTTAAATTTTATTTTAATTTATTTTTTCAAATACATTTGTCTCTGCCTCCCCCCCTCCACTTTCCCTTGCCCCTTTCCTCTTTCCTTCCCTCACCTCTTCCCCTTTGGTTTTGTCCATGAGTCCTTGCTATATGTTCCTTGACTTTCCCCTTCCCTACCTTTCCCTGCCCCCCGCCTTCCCTCTTGTCTCTGTTGATTTCTTTTCCTTTCAGTGTTGCTGGTCTTATTTTCCTTGCACCTTTGTATTGTTGGTTAGGTTCCGCTTATAGGTGAGATCATATGGTATTTGTCTTTTACCCACTGGCTTATTTCGCTTAGCATAATGCTCTCCAGTTCCATCCATGCTGTCGCGAAGTTCAGTAGTTCTTTTTTTCTTTCTGCTGCATACTATTCCATTGTGTATATGTACCATAATTTTTTGATCCAATCATCTACTGATGGGTACTTAGGTTGCTTCCAACACTTGGCTATTGTAAATTGTGCTGCTATGAACATTGGGGTGCATAGGTTCTTTTGTATTGGTGTTGTGGTGTTCTTAGGGTATAGTCCAAGCAGGGGAAAAACGTCTAAATTTTAAAAGTTGTTAATAGGCATATTTTTTTCAACAAAATACGGAATGAGAGCCATACATTTCAATCATTCCATTACCAAGGTTTGTTAAAAGGAAAACTCCAGGGAAATAATTTATGGATTTTATTTTCCTTTTAATTAATATGCAATATAAGCATAATTTGGAACATCATCTTTCAGAGCTTAAGGGAGGGAAGAGGAAGGGAACTAACATTTGCTGAATGCCTACCATGCGCCAGGCGCTGTGCTAGACACTGACATACATTACAGGGTTTACTGTGAGTATTAAATAAGATAATGTATCCTCATTTTTCAGATGAGGAAACAGAACTTGCCCCAAGTCACATGACTGGTAAGTGGCAGAGCTGCACTAGAACCCAGACTCCAAATACCATGCTTTTTCTTCTGTACCGTGTTTAAAGCTTACAGAGAGGTATGAGGTTCATGACCAGAATTTGAGAGTTCTAGGCATTTTTTTTTCTCATGAAATGTTTGCTATCAAACCTAAAACATTTTTTCATGGCAGGATTTAGATGGTTGGACACACTATGCAGTATTTAGAACTTGTTTCGTTCTAAAATGCTAAGTTAGATGACTAGAATCTAAGGGAAGACTTAGGAAATAATGCCTTATATCAAGAAAGACCAGTTTGAATAAATACATAGCATCTTTTAGGGTTTTCCATGTCTTAGTGTTGAAGACTGAGCTATGGTAATGGCTAATAACAGTGTTATAATAATAATATGACACTTATTTGAAACATTCCAGCTGAGAGTAGGCTTGTGCAAAACCCTGGGAAATTCAGCATTTCCTTCCTAGTGCACAAGTAACATTATATGCCAAGTGTTGCTGGGTTCTAAGGGACTATGTACAAGGCACAAAAGATACCTCGGCTTGTCTAAAGCTTTTGCTGCCTCAGAATGAAATTAAATTACTGTATCCTTTTATTATCTTTTCCAATCATGGGTTTAAACTCCCCACTGATGACACATTTATTTTTAGGAATAATTTATACAGTGAAATTTTAGAATAAAAAATAATGTTGGCACATTAGTAGCTAGATGGAGCAGGAATTGGCCTTTATTAGCCTACAGGGGTAAGAACGTGACATCCAAGAATGCAGGATGCTCTTTGAACTGTGATGCTGGGTATCTCATCTGCGCTAAATTACCACTGAATTTTTGTATATGAACTTTTTATCACTTGCTTCAATAACAAAACTTCTTGACACTTGGATTTCCTTAAAACAAGACCTTCTCTTTGTCCATACCTTTTTAATGTATTTAGTAATAAGATCATTTGAATATATGGAATTCATCCATTGATATTTATTCAGTGACCCTTAGAAGTGTACCATCATCAGAGAGTTAAACTAACTCCTGCTCACTTATACTAATTCCTGTTTATGGCTTGAACCAACGAGTTGCAATTCAATTTTTGTTGAAAGAGATAAAATGAATGTATAGTATATCTGAAAAATTGTAATAAAACCCAGTTTGTAAGCTAACATTCAAGGATTAATACATCCACATATATAATCCTTTCAGTTTACCATTTTAGGGTATATTTTCTAAGCTCAAAATGTTTTAAGAATGCTTCTTTTGGAATTGCCATTATCCTTCACAGTGCCACATTTAGCCTTTTGAAGCTGGCTTCAGTTTTGGAAACAGGCAAAAATTTAGAACCATTTCTGATTCCAAGACCAATGAATGAACTTCTATTAAAAATAATTTATTTACTTATTTTTAGAGAGAGGGGAAGGAAGGCAGAAAGAGAGGGAGAGAAACATTTTTTTGGAGAAAAGAAACATCAATTGGTTGCCTCTCCCACGCCCCCTACTGCAGACCTGGCCTGCCGCCCAGGCATGTGCCCTGACCGGGAATGTAACCGGCGACCTTCCTGTTTGCTGGAGGATGCCCACCTGTCAGAGCCACACCAGTCAGGGCTGAACTTTCTTTTTCATCTGTGAAGTATCCCTGCCTTCCCTTTTTAACTTTTTACTGGGTACCCTCAAACTAACTTGTATATTGTGTGAACATCCTGCTTTAACTTTAAGTACAGAGAAAAGCAGATGTATACAAAACTAAAGAGAGAGAAATGAACCTTTCTGTACCTTTGTATTAAGTTTATTGCACTTATTTGTGAGCTATTTGGCAAGAACAACCCTAGACCAAGGTCTGCATCCCTGCTGCTTACATATGTCAGTGTGATGCCAGGAAACTTCCCCTTCGTCACTGCCATTGTTCCAGTTTTGGAAAGCCTTTGCCTCCTCCAGCTGTCGCATTGTTTCAGCCTTTATTACCCCTTAAGCTTCTTCCCTGATGTGGGTAAAGAGAACTGTTTATTCTAGGCTCCACTCTATCTCCTCTACAATATGATTTAAATACATATTGTTAAATCTTTAATAAGTTAAGTTTATAGCTGACTTTAAATTCTCTTCTGAAATATTTCAAAGGTATAAAATTTTCTATGGCATATAATGAAACATCTGTGTATATAGTATTTTTTTCTTTCTTTATTTAGTTATTTTTAAATACATTTGTCTCTGCCTTCCCCCCACCACTTTCCCTTGCCCCCTCTCTCCTTCCCTCCCTCAGCTCTTCCCCTTTGGTTTTGTCCATGAGTCCTTGCTATATGTTCCTTGACTTTCCCCTTCCCTTCCTTTTCCCTGCCTGCCCCTCCCTTCTTCCCTCTTGTCTCTGTTGATTTCTTTTCCTTTCAGTGTTGCTGGTCATATTTTCCTTGCTTCTTTGTATTGTTGGTTAGGTTCCGCTTATAGGTGAGATCATATGGTATTTGTCTTTCGCCCCTTGGCTTATTTCGCTTAGCATAATGCTCTCCAGTTCCATCCATGCTGTCGCGAAGTTTAGTAGTTCTTTTTTCCTTTCTGCTGCATAGTATTCCATTGTGCATATGTACCATAATTTTTTGATCCAATCATCTACTGATGGACACTTAGGTTGCTTCCAATGCTTGGCTATTGTAAATTGTGCTGCTATGAACATTGGGGTGCATAGGTTCTTTTGTATTGGCGTTTGTAGTATTTTAAATTGTCACAGAAACAAATTTAGGATTTTCCCCAAGTTGGTGATCATCATTATATTTTTCATAGTTACAACTGTGATAATTGTTTCATCATTGTTTCTTAAATTATCTACAGAAGTCCCTTGCTGCTGTGGTTCAGTAGATTGAGTGCTGGCCTGCAAACTGAAAGGTCAGCGGTTCGATTCCCAGTCAGGGCACATGCCTGTGTTGTGGGCCAGGCACATCCCTGGGTTTTGGGCCAGGCCCCCAGTAGGGGACATGTGAGAGGCAACCAAACAATGTATCTCTCACACATTGATGCTTTTCTCTCTCTCTCTCTCTCTCTCTTTCTCCTTCCCTTCCCCTCTCTCTAAAAGTAAATAAATAAAATCTTAAAAGAAATGATATATAAAAGGAAGAAGCAGTACAGCCTTACAATCTTTTGAAGACCTTTAAGTGATCTTCTCCCAAAGCCATGTTTTTAATGCTTTATTCTCTCATCTAATTCTTAAGTCCAAGGATGATAAAAACCTGGCATTTACCCAAAAAGAAGCACATAGATCAATTTTTTATTAACCCTTTAAATCAGTTGGCTATTTTAAGTGATTATATTCCATTTACCTGAAAAAAGCCTTTGTCTCCCTTTTGAGTAAAATTTCAGTTCTTATTCAGTGAAATATGGAAGCAATGTGTTTCATGTTTTGATTGGCATTTGCTTTGAACCAACTTTTATAGGATTTTATAATTTTTAACCCATTTTCTCGCAGTAAGTTCTGAGAAAGCATGCATTTTGTCATATCAGAATGTCACATGACTCTGGACTGTATGTTCTCAAAGTTGAAACATTGTGGTGGCAGGAACATGTTTCATCATTTTAATCCATCTGTTTTAAGGAGGCTGTTTATTGCGGTAGATACACGCATGTAGAATATAAATTAGGACACTTTGAGGACTTTAGGATTCAATCTAAATAAATAAATACTAAGTTTGTCATTTAACTATGATTATACTACAGTTGGAAAAATATTTTTTAAATGAATACTTAGGAATATATTATTATCCCAAGAAAACTAAGGCAGACAAAAATTACCATTCCCCATAGAAACCAGTTTTAAGTAGAGCTTTGCTGTTTCGTATGTTATTTTTTGCTTTTAAATGAAAATACAATGAGCAAACATTTCCCTTCCAGTACTTTTTCTGGTAATAGGAGTTGCACTTAAAGACATTAGGTGAGGATAGAGGCTATAGGAAAATTTAACTGGATGGAAATGTTCCGCTTCATTAAAATTTCTGCAGTGGCGTGCTAGAGCAAGCTCTCACTGATTTGCTAGAACTGATTGTTAAATTTTCAGGATTTTTGTGAGCTGGTTGTTAAAATAGCTATTAAAAATTTAAAGATTTATTTAACAAATTACTTAATAACATTAATACGTATTCAAAAATTTATCATTTATACTTTTTTAATCTATGCTCTTGCAGTTATTTACATCTATTTTATCTGCATGCTGTGCTACTTACGCTATGTGTCTTCCAAATTCTGCATTCACTGAAGTCATATTGGTAGCTTCAAGTTAGCCACAGTGAAAGTATTTACATCGTGGGAATTGATGTGCTACATCCAATCTCAGGTTGCTCCCAGAGAGCTGGCTGTTAACCTTTATCAGCACACCACTGATTTTAGGCTCAACAAACTCTCAGTTGAAAAGCCCCTCTACTTTTAGCCTTTGATAACAACCTACCTAAAATGCGTTGGGGCATTTTTCTACCTTAAATGTGTAGAGCATGCTAAATATCATTGTTCCTAGTGCTGAAGAAGATCTTTCATACCTACAATTTCTGTAACGCTCAGAATAATCATCTTAAACAATAGCCACATCACCCCATAAGACATGAAAACAGAAAATGCTATTTCCAGGTCAATTTTATATAGAATATCCAGTTGTAAACTGTTTATAGAAATATGTAACATTTCATTGCAGCTGCCACTGGTGACATGCCAACTTACCAGATCCGAGCTCCTGCAACTGCTCTGCCTCAGGGGGTAGTGATGGCTGCCTCCCCAGGAAGTTTGCACAGCCCCCAGCAACTTGCAGAAGAAGCCACACGCAAACGAGAGCTGAGGTTGATGAAAAACAGGTAAGATGTTCACCAGAAATCAGCAACCACTTAGAGGACATATAACTGTGGGGCTTTTTCAAAAATTACTTTTCCTAAGCTATTTCCCCCAAGTTCAATGTTAAGTGGCATTTTATGTGGGTTTGTGCTCTGCATGTGATGATAGACTGTCTGTTAGTCATGAAACTATTTCCCTATGTGTGAGAAAGGTAATGTCTCTAAGATACATTAATTTTTTTAATGATGATAGGGGACTTTATTACAAATAAGATTTTATTTTGTATTGGCATTTACTTTGTGAAATTAGGTAATAAGTATAATTTCCTAGTTTCTTTATGAGCAAACAAATTGTGAGTTAAGAATTTTTGAAGTTTTTTACATGTTCTTTCCTTTTACTTATTTTGTAACAGTTTTTTATTGTACTGAAATGCATTTTTATTCTGATCATTTCTAGTCATGCAAAAATACAAAACAACAGAATTAAAATTACTTATAACCCCACCACCTAGAGATACCTACTAATATTATAGTATACATTTCCAGCCTGCTCTCTCTCATTTTCTCACTTATTCTTGCACTGTCTCTCTATAATTTTATTTTTTAAAAGGCAGTATATCATACAAATCCTGTTTTCCAAAGTTCTTTTTTAAATTTTGTGCCCTGGCTGCATGTCTCAGCTGATTGGAGTGTCATCCCATGTGCCAAAAGGTTGTGGGTTGGATCCCTGGTCAGGGCACATCATTTTGGAAGCCAGCAATCAATGTTTCTTTCACATCAATATTCATATTCTCTCTCTTTCCCCCCCCTCTTTCTCCCCCCCTTTCTCTGTCTCTAAAGTCAATAAACATACCATCTGGTGAGGATTAAGAATAAACAAATAAATTTCATTTGCATATTATTTCTTTGTTTAGTTTTTATTAGGGAACATGGTACAAATCAATCTGATTTTTCAAAATGAAAAGAGTAAGAACAATCTTTTCCCAGTAGTCATGTCACCTTATTCCTAAGTTGTAAATAATGTCCTTGTTGTAAGGGAACAAAAATTTCAGATGGAACCATGTGTTTGCCTATGATCAGGACTGTATGGTGGTAATTAATTTACTAGGTGTTAGCAACTGAGTTAAGGTATAGATTGTGGCTTCTAAGGCTCTCAAATCCAGAAATAACTGCTAAGTTCGTCATTGTCCTTTGTAACTGTGTATGAACCAGTAGCAGCTATATTCAGTTTACTAATAGCCTTTTAAATGTCACAATTTGATGTATTATAGAACTTCATGTGTTTGCTACAGTTTTATTAGTTATCACAAATCACTGGATGGAGTTTTGTACCCTTTGGAACTCAACAGATTACTGGCAATAGGACCGTGACATACACACATCTTTATCAGTGGTTTTTCCAGGTTTAAGTCCTCCTGGATTCACCTTTTATATTATCAGCACTTTGGTCAGAAATTCTGAAGGGGCTGAATGGGCGGGGCTCACGTAGTATCACTGTTTTGTGGAGATCTTGTTATTGAAGATTCCTAACTTTAATCAGATGGAGAACTATGGATACTTTAAAACTGCACTTTCAGAGATCCCAGGAGCCTGTCTGGTCCCAGAATGTACATTGTGAAGTTCAGTTGATAATGCAAAGTGTGATGATAATGCAGAATTGTTCATCAATGTCTTATTTCCCCAAAGAAAATAAAAAAGGGAAGAAGTAGGAAGTTAGCCTTCTTATCTCCCTGTTGTCATTTTTACCTTTATTTTTAGATTAAAAATGTTGTCAGAACTATAAATAGATAAAATATTAGACAGTGAGTTCCTATGAAAGGTGCCTCACAGCTACCTACACATACATATGATCTCTCTCTGAGGGAAAAATGTATAAAATATTGGGTTTTAAAAAAATAATTTGTTAATAACTATGGGATAGCATTTGTGTTTGGACTCTAAATAACCAAAGAGAATGGAGGCTTAACTTTGTAGATGGTATTTTTTTAAAGATTTTATTTATTTATTTTTAGGGGGGATAAGAGGGAGAAAGAGAGGGAGAAAAACATAGATATGTGAGAAAAACATCAATTGGCTGCCTCTCACATGCCCCCAGCTAGGACCTGGACTGCAACCCAGGCATGTGCCCTGACCAAACCGAGCCAGTGACCTTTCGCTTTGCGGGACGATGCTCAGCCAACTGAGCCACGCTGGTCAGGGCATATGTCACATTGTGAGTCCAGAGGTACATGCAGCCAGAACAAAGGCTCCGTGGTGTCATCGAGGATCTAGGTTCCTCCTCCCTGCTCTGCCTTCTTCCGTGTGACATTTGTTCCTGTGACCACAGTAAGGCTGCCGCCCCTCCAGGCATCACATCAGCTAGGGAGAAGGGAGAAGAACTGAAGCTTAAAAGGGGGGCTGGTTGAGTCTGACCCTTCTAAAAACTTTCCCTGGAAGGCTCTGCTGGCAACTTTCACACACATTTCATAGACTAGAAATAGCTAATAGGATCCATCCCTAGCTTCAAGGGATTCTGAAAAGGGTCTGTTTTAGCTTTTCAGATCTGTTTCAAAAAAAGACAAGAGAAAAGCAGAAAATAAATGGTTATTAGGTGTAATGTGTGGTGTGACGCAGGGGAGCGCCACTGCGGGTCCTGCTTGTCCTCAGTCTGGGCAGCAACTGCCGCAGAGGGATGGACCCCGCCGTGCGGGAGGCTGGCACTCCGAGATCTGAGGGTTACTGTCTGGGGCCAGCTGAGATGGGATCCGGGACTCTGAATCCTGCAGATCCTGTCCTGGAGATGGCACGGATGGAGGGAATAAACACGAGTCATCGAGTCATCGCAAACACTTATCTGTTTGCCAGGAGAGGGGACGTGGCACATCCCTCTAGTGGGGAAGGCCCAGAGTCCCTTTGTTCAAAGGCTTTTATTGAAAAGGTTATCAGTGGGGCCAGGTAACAGGAATGCACAGGTTATCTCATTACATCAGTATGTTAATATTCACAGAGAATGGGTGATGTTTTGAAGAAAACAAATGGCAGGAACACACCGATTTACATGGGTCCGAGAGGAGACTAGTGAAGATGAGAGCATAAACATGGAAGCGCCCAAGGGTATAGGGGTAGGGTCTGTGAATAATGTTAATTTCCTTCTCAGCATGAGCTGGCTATAGCTTCTGAGGGAAATCCAAAGCATACTTTAAAGAATTTACTTTTAGGCCTAATTTCCCTGGGAACCACCAGATCTGGTTTAGGATTGACTCCAGTATTGTTTTGAGCCTGGGCCAGGCAGTGGGAGGGAGACTCCGATAGACAAGGAGACTTCTTTCAGATAGAATGAGGACTCTGGCTATGCCCAGGAGAGCCGAGGGGTGCGGGCCTTTTTGCCCTTTCTCTGTGTCCCCCAATTTCTTGTCTGCCTCCCATATTGATCGATATCTGGCTTAGGTTATTTTCTCTGCATGAGATAACTTACTTGTCATCAACAAGCGACCATTCCAGGGCAAAGCAGAGAGGCAAGAGCTACGGCCTTGCCAGGGGGGACAGGTTATGTCTCCTCAGGAGCCCGTTTCTCCATGGCCTCCTGATTATTTCCAGCCTTGGGGCCCTCCAGTCTGTTGGCAGGGTTACAGTTCCTGAGACCAGACAGGGCATTCCCCAACAATTAGGTTGGTTAATATTTGTTGAGTGAGTATCTCATGCACATTCTAAGTGCTTTATTTCTACTGTTTCTGTAACTGTCACATAACTTTCACATGAGAATAGGTCTGGTTATTATCCTTACCTTACGGATGAGGAACTGAGGTTCAGAGACTTTACATAGTAAGCTAGTTAATATCACACAGTGCAAACTAGACTGAACCTAGATATGCAATGAGGCAGTATTTATTCCAGAGCCGGTCCACTACAGTAACACAAGAGTCAGCCCCAAAAGACCTCAGCATAAGCTTCAGATATAACTTTACAGAAGGAATGTAGGTTTTACTCTAACATGAAAGATATTTAATATATTTTTATCTTTTTATTCTTTGTCAAGCACTTATAATGGGTATTTAATTATATTTCTAACAATCCACGACAGTTTTTCTTTCTTTACAGATTTGTCAGCTTTTCCCGTTTACCATGTATTTTCTCTCCATGCTGAAGATATATGCAGACAAATGCAAGGCCTGAAAACTGAGCTCTAACTATTAATAGAAGAAACAGGTGTTTTCCATAGCGGAGAAGTACTTAGGAGTGTGCCTTCTACTAGTCTGATCAGTTAAAGCCTTGTGCTTGCAACAGTTGACTCTGGTAGTGGCGCATGCGCACATGTGAAATACCAAGCATGGGCGTTTACAGTAAATAGTACACCTGGAAACAAAATTTGGAAAGTTAAATAGCCCGCAACACTGCTATTAGATATTTAAAATTTCTTTTAATGATGACTTGTTTAATAAAATGACTATCTTCTTTCCAGATCTAGAATTTAATATAATGATTTAATCATGAAAATCTTGGTATTCATTAAACGTGTATTTTAGTTCCTTTGTGGAATCGTTGAATTCTGTTCCCAAACTGGCATATTTTATAAGTGTGTTTGGATTTATTCTTAACTTTTTTCCTGTGCATCATTAGATTAAGTTAATCAGTGCTTATCAGATTCAATTCATTTATACATTGTTACTTTTTTGTTAACCAGTTGAGAAGTCTGAGAACTTCTTGGGTTCACAGGTTGAGCGTATGTTCTTGGCTGGGAAATAGAGGCGGATCTTTTCCTGAAGTTCATTGGCATTTCCAGATCTCTTTATTTCTGCTGACTCTTGCTTCCCACAGAGAAAATACATAACCAGTTGTTTGTGAGAGTCAACTATCCTAAAAATAAATCAGAATGGGCTGGATCTGTTGTATGCATCACTCCTAGTTCAGACTTGCAACAATAGTAATGGCATTACAGTAACTGGTGTTTAGACATTCAACACAACTTTTGTTAAAATACACTTGAATTCTTTTTTTTTTTAATTTATTGATTTTAGAGTGAGAGAGAAGAGAGAGACATGGATTTGTTGTTCCACTTATTTATGCATCCATAGGTTGATTCTTGTATGTGCCCTGACCAGGGATTGAACCTGTAGCCTTGGAGTATTTGGACGACGCTCCAACCAACTGAGCTACCCAGCCAGGGCCTAAATTATCTTTCGATGTAGGATTTTTTTCTTTTTTTTTTAAGATTTTATTTTTTTAGAGAAAGGTGAAGAGGGGGAGAAAGAGAGGGAGAGAAACAGTGATGTGTGAGAAATACATCGATTGGTTGCCTCTCACATGCCCCCAACTGGGGACCAGGCCTGCAACACAGGCATGTGCCCTAACAGGGAATCGAACTGGTGACCTTTCACTTAGCAGGCCAGCACCCAATCCAGCGAGCCAACACCACCCAAGGCTCAATGTAGTATTTTTTTATATGAAGGATATCCAATTATTCTGAATTGAAAACTCCAAAATAAAACTATTATCAGGATACAGTCTTTAGAGAAATTAAATGATGTACTTGCCACCCCCACCCGCCCTGAAAAAGGGGAGAGAGAAATGTTGGCTGTATTCATTGTGTTTCTTTTGGTGAAAATGACTGTGACTCATCTTTTCTTTTGCATTGGTTGCTTTGGCTGCTGTTCTGTTCTTTCCTTTGGGTATGCCTACAGTGTGTTAAAATTTAGTAAATTGGATAGTAAATGCATGTGATGAGAGAACAGTCTTGAGTTACTAAGTACCTTCCTTTTCATCATTTTAATTGTGGTGTTTTCACATTCCTGGATTTAAATTGTCTGAACTATTGAGTATTGTATTTTGTACCCTCCCTTCTTAATTTTCAGAAGCAGAGTCCATTTCATTTTGGTTTATGAAAATATGCATGACTTATGATTCATTTATTGTTATTTTTATCCATGTTGTTTCCCAGCCAACAACTGTCTCTTGAAGTCCTTATTTATTTGCTTCACTGTGATTTAGTCTGGAAGAATTACAGTCTCCAATATTGATATTTAAGGTTTCTGAGGATTGATTTTTGTAATCATTCTTGATCAAATAAAGTTAACTCATTGTGATGGAATGTATGGCTTTTGGTGGACAAAAATAACTAAGAGATTCAAAAGGATCTGTAAATGTTTCTGTAGAAATTCCAGTTGGAAAGATGGTTCTATTGTTTTAGGTAACTGAAAACCGTTCTGGTCACTGTTATCGTGGACTGTGTGCCCTACAAAAACACCATTTACAATGAATGCTGGACAAATGGACTGTGTTCTCAAATCATTCCTGTTGTCTTAGAGTCACTTTACAAAAAGGCATGGGCTTGGGTCCATTTGTTGTGTGGCTTTGTACAGACCTTTCCTGGGATTGATTGGCTGTTGAGTTTGAGGGGGCCAAATTTCACTGAGCCCCTCTGTGCTGAGAGGTTGTTCCTGAGTCATTTGCCTTGTGTTGGTTCCAGGGAAGCTGCCCGGGAGTGTCGCAGGAAGAAGAAAGAATATGTCAAATGTCTTGAAAATCGTGTGGCTGTGCTTGAAAACCAAAACAAGACTCTCATTGAGGAACTCAAGGCCCTTAAAGACCTTTATTGCCATAAAGCAGAATAACTGTCTTTGACTTGGACCTTGTTTACGGTGAACTCTAATCAAGGCAGGAGATGCAGCAATTTTACTAATTGCCATGTGGACATATGGAAGGGACACTTGTGACCCTTAAGAATCCAGCTTGGCTTAGTGTTTGAAATTGAGTTGGGAGTGTTGTTTCAAGATTTGGAATGCAACCATGATTGCATATACCAAGCTCACTTCAGCCTGTTTCTCAATGGCATGCAAAAATTGTTTTGTTTGCCCTTTTGTTTCTCTCTCTCTTTTTTTTTCAAGGAAGCTGCTAAAGAATGTCGACGTCAAAAGAAAGAATATGTAAAATGTCTGGAGAGTCGAGTTGCAATGCTGGAAGTTCAGAACAAGAAGCTTATAGAGGAGCTTGAAACCTTGAAAGACATTTGTAAAACCAATTAGTAGTAGTACTTAACTATGAACTGATTATAACATGTACAGCTGCTTTTGAAGGCAACACAATATGTAGTCAGCAAAAATTATGGTTTTTTTCCTTTGTATCATTCATCATATTCTCTGATCTGTAACATTCCTAAAATGCTTCATTGTACATAGTTAACTCTTAGCTGTAACTTCAATTTTTAAAAAGAAACAAACTATAAAAATATGTATTCAGCAAATTCTTAAAATGCAATATTTGTAAGACTTCTTCCAATGACACGTTTGCAGTTCCCAATCTCTGTGTCCTGAATAGTGTGCTATGCAGTGAAATTTTCTGGAGGTCTTTTACAAATCATTTTAGGAAAGGATGATCAAAGATAATGCATTCAGCAGTACAATAAAAGTACACCACACAAAAATACCTCAGGAAAGAACTGAAAGAATCTAATAACATGCCTATATGAAAAAAAATAGCTATAATGAATTTATGGTATTTGCAGATTTTTATATTAGTTAATTTGTAAAGAAAATATTGTATTGCTGTCCTTGAATGCTATAGTTGGAGAGCATTTTTAATAGAACCATGTTGGTTACACTTGTAGTGTTTGGCGGTCGTTTAACTACCTGAGCATTTCCTACAGTTTTTACTCATGTGTAATAGAAAAGATCTCACAGAACCTCTAGTGCTGGTTTGATATTACCTAATGAAAGTTACAAGTTGATAGTAGCTGGAATGAATAAAAAGAGTTAGAACGGCATTTGCGTACCTTCAGGGGTACATGAGCTGATCTGCACGAGAGGTCTGATTTCTGAAAATGCTCTGCCATCTCTCCAAGAGGATCCTCCAGACCTTTTACACAGAAGAGCCAGTAAGAGAGGTTTGGTAGGTGTGATGGAGTAGGCCTTTCTGTACATGGTCTGGAAATCCATGTAGGAGTTTTGAAGTAAAAACAACCCAAGATATCATTTTCCATTTCAAAACAGCTTGAAGTCTACATTGTATCAAATATTTTTTGGGTCAGCACATTTAGATGAAGTTCATTACATTGAGACATCAGTATTGTTACAGGTAGCCACATTTCATTCTATGTTTATAATAAAAAGCTCCAAGTTATAAACCCAAAGCCCTAACCATATGATTCTGTCTTCTTTCATTCACTCTGAGACCTGTGTTGAAGGCCTACTCTCTGCTAGACTCTGCTGTATTTTCTGCTCTAACTCCTGATTTATTGAGGATGCCTCCACCCCACCCCTAGTTTCAGTAGTAGAAATGGTCAATGTGTATGGGAGATAGAGCAACAGGAGGTCATTTATATAGCATCTAACCACTATGCCCCATTTCATAATTCTGTCACTTACTTGTGACTCCCAGAAGGCAGGGCATACCACCTGGGGCTTTGTTTAGAAATACTTATTACTCTTCCTTCAGAGTCTGAGCTCTGAATTTCTTTTGTCTCAATTTTTGTTTTTTACAAAGATGAGGAAAGAAGACAAGAATGAAAAGATGAAAGGAAAACCCCTTTTCAGGTGAAGGGATATACGTGGTGCTTTGTACTCAGTTGTGTGTCCAATCGTGGACACCGAGCAGATCCAGGAACCAGCAGACAGGATGGAGACAGCTAGAGGCAGTAGATACTGTGTGTTAGAATTGGAGAAAACTGCAGGCAGGAACTTCATAAGAAACGGATCCTGTAGGAGGT